TGTAGGATATTGATATTAGCTTATTTAGGGGCTTTCAAATATATAAAATTATACAGGGTATCCCACTCACGCAAATCACCCTTTATATGTATTTTTTATTCAAAGAACGTATAATTAAACTAAGGATCGTCTCTGATCGCTTATTAAAATTTTCTAAAATAGGGCTAAAAATAATTATATCCATGAGTAGTTTCTACACTGAAAATACAGTCTCACTCAGTCTGCAGTATAGTTCAAAAAAGGCAAATGGTAATCATGAGCTTCAGACCATTCAATGCACTCATTTTTCTACCACTTGCCACAAAAATATATGTTTTTTACTGTAGAGAGGATTTTTTAGATTAATGCGTAGTACCAATAATAATAAGAAACATAGTGTGTAGTGAACACATGTCCTTGAAACTATTTCCAAGTACTCTTAGGTTATGTGGGATATAAGTCAGAATTTATGTTTAAATTTTTCTTCTAACGGTGTGTCTTCTAACTACTTAATTTCTAGTGTTAAGAAAATTTAGCAGTACTCATACGGACTTGTTTTGGTGATTTTCTGATCATCTAAAGCCCTTAAAAATAATGAACACACTTATTGGCACAAGTACGCAAGTCTGAAAGGCAATAGCAAAAGTTGTAGTCTACAGCTACATAAATAAAAAATACATATCCTATTCCTTATGGCTATAAAAATAAAAATTCCAATTTGATCAAGGTAATCCTTTAGGAATAATTCAGAATCTAATAAATTGATATATTTATAATTTAAAGCGTTTTTACATTGTGTCTCTCTTTGTGCGCAGTTGCATGCAAGAGGTCAGGTTCTTTGTAACTTATCTCTTTCTGTTTACTTAAACACTCGAAAGATATGCTTCATTTGTCGATTTCTTTAATTATCAGGCGATGCTCACCAAAGCACATGGTGTTACCTGTACTATTCTCTAAAATCCAACGTTTTTTGTTGTTCGGATACCCAATCGCAATTTTTCTCGGTCTGTCAATAGCTTTTCCTCAATTTCTTAATGTCCCATTTCCCGATTTATGCCTTTTCTCCAACTGAGGCGAAGTTTTTCTCTTTTCGTTTTACCATGAGGTTGCCATGTTAGAATTTGGTTTGGAAGTTGACCTTTGGGCATTATTTGAACATGTCCATATCATCTTAGTTTTTGGGTACAAATATCTTTTACTATTGTTTGATTTACTTTCATTATGTCTCTTATTTTACCATTAGTAACTCTCTTCAATCTCGATTTCCTTGCCGAGCGTCTCCAGAAAACCGTTTCCATTGCCTCAAGTTTTCTCTTATATCGTTACTTTATCTGCTGACTTTTGTAGGTGATTATACTTCTTCTGCTTCATGTACCATGTCCTTTCAGAACGTTGGTTACCATCATAGCTATCTTAATTTTATTCACTGCCACCCTAAATAGCATGCTTGTATCAACACCATACCAATCTCGCAGGTTCTTCAATCATGAGGTTCTTCTTCGTCCTGGACTGCGTTCGCGTGGTATTTTTCCTTGCATATTTTGTAGCAACCTATATTTGGGACCTCTCATTACATGTCCGAAATACTCCAGCTTTCTCTGCTTGATGCTTTTTATGACCTCTGTAGTCTTGCTGAGACGTTCTAGTATTGTGGAGTTTCGAATCTTCTCCACCCAGGAAACTCTTAGAATTCTTCTATAGCACCACATTTCAAAAGCCTCAAGCAGATTTAGATCGATTTTATTCACAGTCCAGGACTCGACAGCATAAAGTTAGACCGAGAACACGTAGCAGCGAAGTAGATGGATTCTTAATGCCAGTTTTAGGTCTCTTTTACATAACACTTTGGACATCCTTCTAAAAGTAGCTAAAGCTGCTCTATCCTGGATCTAATTTCGCCGTGACTTTCTGCGTTACAATTTAATTGCTGTTCAAGGTAAACGATTTTATCAATTTGCTCAAGTTTGGTATTATTTACATATATAGACGGTTTTATATGCTGTTGTTTACTTATTACCAGTATTTTGGTTTTCCTTATGTTAAGATCCAGACCTGCCTCCCCACAGCTCTCAGCGACATTATCAAGTAGTGTTTGCAGATCTTCTTGACTAGAAGCTAGGAGTACTGTATCGTCCGCATATCGCAAATTATTGATGACTTCGCCGTTCACAAGTATTCCTTCTTGTTTTTCAGAAAGTGCTTTTCTGAAAATTCTTTCGGAGTAAACGTTAAAAAGCAGGGGTGACAAGAGGCATCCCTGCCGAACTCATCTTTTAATATTGAGAGCCTGTGATTCGACACCATCTACTAAAACTGATGTTGTTTGATTCCAATATAAATTTGCAATTATTCGAACATCTCTGCCGGCCAAGCCAATGTCTTTTAGAGCTTCGATCAATATAGAGAGCTTAACACGGTCAAATGCCTTTTGGAAGTCAATAAAACAACAGTATATGTCTACAGATATATCAGGACATCTTTGAGCAAGTACGTTCATTCCAAACAGTGCCTCTCTCGACGATACGACCATGTATTACTTTCAGAAAAATTTTCAATAAGTGGTTTCACAAACTGATGGTTCTATAATCAGCACAGGTTTTTGCTGTTCTCTTCTTAGGTAGAGCTATAAACAGTGAATTACACCAACCATTAGGTAGTTCGCTGGTATAAATGGTATTGAAAAACGAAGTTATAGCCTCTTAAACATTGCTATCATTTATAAGCTTATATATTTCAGTTGGAATTTCTTCAGGACCAGTCGCTCTGCCATCTTTTGATTATTATGGCCATTATAACCTCAAAGCGTGTTATTAGGGGTCCGTCGCAGTTAGTAATATCGGGAGGTGAACTACTCCTATCGTCTTCGAATAGGTTCGTGACGTAATTTTCCCATTCTTCAAGTTTGTACTCTACTTCAAATATTACTTTACCATTTTCATCCTGTAGCAATGCAGTTTGTTTCTTAGTGAAGATACCAGCCGCTTCTTTCACTTTTTTATACATGTTAAACGTGGCGTATCTTTTTTCAAGTTCTTCAATGTCATGACACTGTTTGGCTGGATGTTGACTCTTTGCTTTCGTATTTTACCTCGAATTTCTTTTTGTATGCTATTGTAAACTGTTTCGTTGTTTTTTGCTAGTCGCCGTTGTTCCATCAAATCCACTATGTCATCTGTCATCCAAGCCTGCTTTTTTAGCTTTGACCTGCCTTGCAAATTTCTCTGCTGCAGGTGATTATACCTGCAGCATAAAGTAAATTATCCCAAAGTAAATTGTTTACATTCAACACTTTGCTTTCCTATTAGAGTTCATTTGCATGATACTTAGAGTGAAAAGGAGATACCGTGTAAATGCGCCTTTACACGCCCACTTTCAATACAGTGTAATGTGTGTGAACTATTACAACCTCCTTTGAGTTCATACCAATCAATTATCAATTTACAAAAATCTGCTTATGCGTGCTCTTTTGCTAGAATATACTAACCCGTGTGCCTATATTCTTTGTCTAGGCATTAATACAAAAATATATTGAATATGTCTACAAACCCATGAATTATTGCTGGTTTAGATCTGATTCAATAATTAATGCACTAAAAATGCATTTCATAGAACAAAAATGACAAATGGTTGTAAAAATAAGGTTGATATGCTACAAAAGATCCTTCGCAAGGAAAAAATAATTGCAATATTTTTGGTATTAGATAATGTATTTGTTTTTTTATCTCATTATACATTGTCTTCATATCAAAAATAAAAATAGAGAGAAATATCCAGCTTTAAGAAATAAACATTTAAGTGTTTATATTCCATTTAATTAGTGTGGAAGTACTTAAAGAGTGGGATAATTGATAAAGATTTTTAAAATAATGTATCATTTTTAAATACTTTATCGATGATTGTTTTACTTATGTATCTACTGTAGAAGTCTGTTCAATGTTCGTGTTTGTACTATTCTAGTTATTGTTTTTGAGTTTTAGTTTACAAAGTTAATTTTAATGTGGTTAGGAACCAGTGAAATAATATTATGTACATTTAAGATTGTAAAATAGTTTGGCAATTGTGTACTGGTATCATGCAGCTTGAGATTTATAAATGCCATGTTAATTTGGCTATTTTTGGATTTAGAACAAATAAATAACACAAAAAGTGAACCCTATGATTTCTGAATCAAAACAAGCGTAACACTAATAACCAGAAGAACAAGAATGTACGAGGTCATATGCTTTTGTGCATTGCTGACTTATGCCGTTTCCCACTTCTTGCTATATTTTGTCCATCTTCATCTTTCGAATATCTTATGCTGATTGTGTTCTTTGACTATGCGTATTGACTATATGAATTTTTTCTAAATAAAACAAATTAACAATATACAATTACAAATAAAACATGATTTTTTGTTTGTAAATATATTCATCATCTTTGGCTCTACAACCCATGTTGTAGAGCCAAAGTGACTAAAAACCAAATACTAATCAGTCAGTCACTAGCATATCGTTTTAGTAGTATAACACAATAATTTTAATTAAAATTATATGAATTTTGTTTTGAATCTGTCACTCCCTATCGATATATTTCCATTAATTGTCGTCCAGTATATTTAATATGTTAATTTTTTTTATTTACAATTTTCTTACTGTTTTCAAGTTTGTAAGTTTTTTCATCTCGCTTTTTGATCGATATAATTACTTTCATAGGTTTATCAAAAGCTGTTTGTTTTAGTCCAATTTGTTATAGTAACACTTGTAATAATTGAAGGTTTTAAGCGAATAAAGTCACCTTAAATTACTTTTATATTCTGCATCGATCACTACACAATTTCCAATTAATTAATACGAAGTAGATCATCTGTATAATAATTACCTAGTTAGTTTTTCCCTAACTGTAGTTTATGTGCATTAAGAACAAAGTAAATGACATTTAGTAAGATTCAAAAATATATTCTTGTGGTACTGTTACTTAATTTCCTGACTGAATTTGTTTGTAAATATATTTACCATGATATAATTACGTACTCTTTCAGTCTACACTTCAATTTGGTTATCTAAAAATATATACATTTGTAATAATCAGGCTATAAGAAACTTTTTAACAATGTTTAATGTATATTTGATTAAACGTGTTTAATTAATGTAAGTTTTTATTAGTTTAAGGGGTCAATTTACTGGATTCCATTTCTCATAGTTCTGTCATTCTTTTTATCATAAGAACTTAAAATTTTTGGATCTTATAAGTTCCTTACAACTTCTTATTTAAATGTGGTAATATGTTTAGCAGACCGCCAATTATATTTGTAAAAAATCAATTTTCATATACAAAAATATATTTTGTGTAAAAAGATTGTGTTGTTTAGTTTTATTTTCTTAATCCTAACAATTTACATTCCTTTTACTATAATTTATCCTAATCCTCTAACACAAATACATAACTTGAAAACTACTTACTCTTTTACATTGAGACAAAAGGTTGATATTTACGTAAACAGTAATGAATAATCAAAAAACATGATGTAATGATTATTACAACAGCAGCATAGATTATGGGAGAAAAAAAGGAAGTATTTAAAATCCATATAGAGAATACGAAGATATCATATTGTTGCAAACTGTGTTTTTTATTTTAAACATAATATTTTACAATAAAAATGTTTATATATTGTTAAATACAAACACATAAATCATGTATGTTACAATTAACTACAAACATGACACAACAAAATAAAAATATATTATAACCTGGCCTAAAAGTTTTGAAACCCCTTAGAGAATATGAAGATATAATGTGAATTGATATAAAATTTTTAAATAAAAATGTTTTTGGATCAGCTTGATCATCAGAGAATTTGATTGATATTTCGCAACTAAGGTATCATTTTATAATCAATGTATTTATATATTGTTAAATAAAAAAAAAACATAAAACCTGTATGTTACAATTAATTGCAAAAAGGTCAAAACAAACAAATTTAAAATATATTACAAAGTGGTCCAAAAGTTTTCAAAACCCTTAGAAAATACTAAGAAATATTATTGCCATAAACTTTGTGTTATAAATTTGTTATATAAAAATACATGGGTCAATGGAGGATTGTTCTGAAGAAAGATGTGATGCTACTGATGATGATAATGATACATTGTCACAAACTATCTACAAATTGTTCTCAAGTCCAAGTAAAGTCCTCAAATCTGTCAGAAGATTATAATATTTAAAATATTCCCATTTTACTGTGCCTTATTGATTGCCTTTTACAACTTCTTGTCTTTTTTTCTTCTATGATTGTAAATTTGCTCCTGTCCCAAACTTCTCATGCCTCATTTACATTTGAGAAAACAAACCTTTTTAGTTTTAGCTAGAGTTTGTCAACTTGTTCCTGTAAGATAAGGATTTTTGTTAACATTATCGAATGTCTTTAGACAAAGTCAAAGAAATTTTAAAATAGTGCATTAAAATAAAATATTTGTACCTGTTTCTGCAATTTTCTCTACTTCAATATTAAGCGGCTGGTACAGTTCAACTGTAATCAAAATAAACAGTTTGTCTTTATCCTTCTACAAATAATTTTTGGTTGGTACTCTCCAATAAAACTTGTCCTCTACTTTGAAGATTCATTATAGGTTGTAGTGGAAAACAGCATGTAATAGTATATTACATATCGAGAGTTGTAAGAAGCTTATTACATGCGAGTAAAAAAGTTGCGCGCGAGCCGCGTAGCGGCGAGCGCAGTAATTTTACAAGCATGTAATAATCTTACAACTCAAGTTGTGTACTATACTTTTTCTACCATTATTTTCGTTTATAAAAATAAAAATTAAATTACCACTATATTTACACTGACAGTTTAATAATTTTAATCTGTCAAAATAACGTTACCATGGAAACGTTAATTCGTTTCCATGGTAACTCGACAACTGACTTACGAGGCTTATGTGATATTACACATTTTTATAAAACTGAAGCGTAATTTTTTTTATTACGTGCTAGTCATTACGTGTCAGTATCTGTTATGATGCATTTACTTAGCCTCTAAATAGTAGGTAATATACAATTTACGAGTAAGAGGGTAGAAAAAACATATAAAGTAACAGCTTTCTAATAAAACAATCTCTTACCAATTGAGGTAGCTGTTGATGTAGATGGCCCTTGTATTGGGCAATCAAATGTGCATTAAAAAACATAAGTAAAAGTAACACAGCTTCACTCTATAAGACATTTCTCTTTAGGTATAATATTTATTCAACACTTTGCTGCAGCCCGATTGATGTAATCTAACCGGCGACCTGCTATTTCTATAACTCAAGGAAATATCATTTTTCATATATTTTTTCCTAAAAAATTTAAACATAACTTCAATAGGTCACGTGACAAAATCGTCCAATGAAATAATGAAAAGATGGAACATACTGTTTACCTAACCTCACTAACTGATGTCAAAAATGTCATTCAGTCGTCCAATGAGAAGATGGAATTCAAGGTGGCAATTAGCCTCTCGCATTATTTATACGTCCATGGCCTCTCGTTATCTAGGACTAAGATAGACACGCCTACTAAATGATGGCACGTCAACAGGATTACAATTTTAAAGAA